GAATTGCTCCCAAGCTAAGACCCCATTTCCTTGGGGTGTAGAACAGACTTACCAGCTTCTGGCCCAGGCTCCCAAGGGGCAGCCGGGGAGGTGGGCAGAGGCGAAATGCTTGTTGTCTGAGGAGCCTGGCCTGCGGCAGGGGGTGGGGGCCTGGGCCCTGTCTTCCTGGGCATCGAGCTGTTGCTGCCGACTGTGGAGGCCGTGGGAGGGACATACGCAAGAGGTATACCTGAGACAGGGGTAGGGGAAGAGGTAGTCACCACCCAGCCTGTCCCAGGGCCACAATGTAGGACAAGGTTTCACAGGTAAGACGGGGCACGTGGCCAGTCTGGATGGAGGGACTGAGGGGCGTAGGGTACATTAGGGAAACACGTGAGCCCCCCACTTCTGGCCCGTCCACACCAGGCTCTACCACACCTACCTCCCCAGCCTTTCCCAGAGCCCTACCATCACACACGGCCCCGGCGTCCTCCCGGTGGTGACAGTCATGCTGGCCCCAAGGCCTTGATGGGCAGAACCTCAGTGCTGTCTCATTTCCCCGACACCGAAGATCGTCCAGGAGGATGGGTCCAGCCCCCTCCCCAAAGAAGGCCCCTCCAGGGGCGGCCAGTGCAGCCCCACAGCCCAGCTCCCGGCAGGCCACTGTGGCATCCCGCAGGTCCCAGGCATCATCACACACCGACCCCCAGCGTCCACCATGCCACACCTCCAGGCGACCAGCGCACCCATGGGGGCCATCAGCCAGACGCAGCCGGGGGGCTGGACCTGGATGTGGGGAGAAGGAGAATTACAGAGAAAGGGGAACCGTGAAGGGTGAGCAGGTAAGAGCCCAGCCCAATGTGATGCTGCAGAGTGGCTGTTCCATCTTCAGTTTGCAAATGAAGAAAGGGCTCCGAGACGGGCATCACTCACCAAGAGTCCAGCTCCCGTCTCTCCCCATGTCCCTGCTGCCCAGGGCTATCGCTGAGAGCTGTGCCCCCGGGCCCTGCCATCCCCCTTCCTGGCCTGGGTCTCCACTCCCAGCTGCACTGCTGACATCTGGGACAGACCATCCTGTGGGGCCTCCCAGGCCCTGTCCAGGACATCTGTCCAGCAGCACCCCTGGGCTCCACCCCGCAGATGTGAGGAGCACCCACAGTTGTGACAACCAAGAATGTCTCCAGGGTTTACAGATGTCCCCTGGGGAGTGGGAAAATTGCCCCCCACCCCACAATGAAAACTAGTTTAGATAGTAACTTCTTGTCAGTTTTAGAATTCATTTCTGTTGGGTCTTTCTGGGATAAAAGTTGAGGGAGTGTGGAGTCCATCTCTCTACCAATCAGTATGTAGGGAGGCGGAATTGCAGGCCAGAGAGAGAGGCCAGAAATACCTGCACTTACTTCTCCTCAGAAATGAAAGGGACTCCCCACAGGGTCACTCTGAGGTATTAAAGGCATTAAGGCATTGAGCTCCCCCAGGCATCTCAGTGGAGTTCACTTCTCCTCAACATAACCCTCTCTGAAGCCTCAATTTACCTCCCAGAAACTGGGCCCTGCTTCTGGCCCCACATGCTTCCTACCCTGTGGCACATGGGGGGACCCCTCACTGTCCCCGGCCCCCAGCTCTGTGCCCCACTGCACACTCTGCTTTAGACATCCAAGGAGACACCGCAGATCCCACTGTGCAGTGGGCAGACCCAGGCTCAGGGAGGAGGACGCACCTGTGCAGACCAGCCCTGCGTCCTCGCTGTGGTCACAGTTGCTCCGACCCCAGGGGCTCCGGGGACAGTCCCTCAGGGCCTGCTCTCCGCCTCCGCACCCCACGTCATCCATCCACACGGGCCCCGAGCCCTGGCCAAATCGGGCCCCTCCTGGGGCGGCCAGTGCACCCCCACAGCCCAGCTCCCGGCAGGCCACGGCTGCATCACGCAGGTCCCATCCGTCGTCACACACAGTCCCCCAGCGCCCACCGTGCCACACCTCCAGTCGGCCTGCACAACCGTGGGGGCCAGAGGCCAGGCGCAGCCGCTCTGTGGGGATGGACAGGGATCTTGTGTGAGGCAGCTGGGATAAGTGGATTTAAACACCCCTGGTTTTCCACCGATGCAAACTGAGGCCTGGAGAGGGCAGTGGCCTGAGATCCACCTGCCAGCCTGGCCATTAAAGGGAGAGTGAGAATGTGAGTAGCGCATAGTGCCTGGGTGCCGGGAACGGACATCTGGGTTCCCTGATGGGGTGGGGTGGGGGAGCTGGGCCTCACTCAGGAGGACATGCGGGGGGCCCAGGCTGGTCCAGATCTGTGGAGGAGAGGCCTATAAGGGACTTACCCTGGCGCGTGGCTCCGGCCATCAGTGCAGGGGCCCTGGTGGACTTGGCCTGCTTGGGAGGCCGTGGGCTCTTCTTCCGGGAACTGCTCTGGGGAGTCCCAGCTGGGCGAGGGGCTGGAAGAAGAGGCAGTAAGGAGAGAAGGAGCCACTCATCCCTCCTGCCTGGGGGGCCATGCCAGGACCCTTGGGGTTGGGGTGGAGATGGGCATCTGTCTGTCCCCTGGGCAATATGAGTGTGGAAGGCCCCTCTCCCCCATGGCTGAAGCAGGAGGGGACGTGGGTGGGCTCACTCACTGTGTGTCACAGGGGGTTCCTCAGAGCTGGGGCTCTGCTCCCCAGACAGCCCCTGCCAGGGGTCCCCATCCAGGAATGAAAGTGAACCATCTGTGTCCCTCGAGTTAGCCACGCGCTGACCTGCGGAGAGCAGGAAAGCTCTGGAGGGGCGGGCCCTGCGAGAGGCTGGGCCAGAATCCCTGGGCAGTGGTAAGCTGGGGTCCTGGAGGGAGACCCTTGGCTCTGGAGGGGATGTTGGGACCTCTGGAGCCTCAGAGTGACGGGGCTGAGGACTTGGGGTCCCTACCTGCACAGACGATGCCTGCATCCTCCTCATGGGAACACACATGGGCCTTCCACCCTCGGTGGGGGCACAGGCCCAGCTGCCCCTCGCTGCCCCGGCAGGCCAGCTCACTCAGCCACACGGGACCTGCACCCTCCCCAAAGAAGGCACCTCCGGGGGCAGCCAGCGCCGCCCCGCAGCCCAGCTCCCGGCAGGCTACTGCAGCATCTCGCAGGTCCCATCCATCGTCGCACACGGTCCCCCAGTGCCCACTGTGCCACACTTCCAGCCGGCCTGCGCACCCGTGGGGACCATCAGCCAGACGCAGCCACTCTGGGGGAACGGAGGAAAGACTATGACATCCTGGAGGCCACGGGGCAAGGGGCTGTCCTGCAGAGTATGACTGGGAGGAGTCCAGTACCCCGCTGCTAGTGGAGACCCCAAATCCTGCAGGCCCAGGAAAGCAGTGGTGAGAGACCCTGGTCCCTGTAGAAAGCGGGTGGCTGGCTGCTGGGGTAGTTCTGGGGGGAATGGTGCCTGAGGTCATAGCCGGATGGTAGGTGGCCAGGATCTCAGGGGAGGGCGACACTGGCAATGGGATGGGCTTACTGCTGGGTGAGGCCAGACAAAGGAGTGTTCAGGGACACTTACCAACAGCTTGGATCCCCATCAGAGCCACTGGAAGGAAGGTTGGAGGGGTGGGACACAGTGAGGGGCAGGCCCAGGGTCCTTTCTCCAGTCTTGAACACCCCGACACACACACACACACACACACACACACACACATCCTCGCACCTCTGAACCAGAAACCCCTACTGGGAAGAAAGCAGGACTTTGGGCCAAGGGGCAGGGCCCCAGATGCCACAGATCAGGGCTGGGGACCAGGCCCTTGTGCTCCCCAAGAGAGAGGCCTGGCTAAAGGTCAAATGGTGTGTGACCCCCCACAGGGTCAGGGCTGGTGGTGGGGGCAGGCAGGTCCCTGGGCCTCCTAAGAGGGTGGGGCTGGGCATGTAGAAGGCTGGGTCCCTGGGGGGTCAGGCAGGGAGGGCAGATGTCCTGTGTCCCCAAGCACCAGGAATGGGCCCTGGAAGAACGGACCCTTCGATTGTATGTGCTCAGGGGTCAAAGGGTGGGGCCCAGGCCCCCAAGTCCCCAAAGAGAAAGGGTCACTCACCAAGGAGGCAGGCCAAGACCCTCATGTTTGCAGAGTCCAGGGCAAAGATGGGTGAGAGGGGACTGGATCAGGAGAGGGGAGGAGGCAGCAGCCACTGGAGGAAGGGGGGAAAGCCTGCTGAAGCGCCCTGGACCCGGGAGGAGCAGGCAGGAGCTGGATGCTTTGCCAGGAGCAAGAAAGGCTGCCGAGGAGGCAGCAGGGGACAGGAGGGGGGCGGGGAGGGGGCTGGCCAGCGGTTGAGGCCTGGGGAGGAGGGGGGTGGCGGACTGGAGGGAGGATGTCCAACAGCAAACACCCACACAGGCCAGCCAGGCATGCAGGGTGTAGAGATGCTGAGGACGGCAGGCTGCAGGGAAGGGATGGCATGGGCGAGGCACCCACCCATCTGCTTCCTCTCTTATCCAAGCAGGGAAGTGTGGATTGGACCAGGGTATAGGGGCTGGAGGGTAGATTCACAGGAGCTGTGGGGCTTCAGGACTTGGCACAGCTGGGGATCAGCAGCAAGAGGGCTTCCAGCCAGACATCAGGAAGGACTTCCTAGATTGGAAAAGGAAACTCCATTCCCCAGGGTGGAGCTGGATGCAAACGCCCCCCATCTGAGGGAGAAGTGGTTGAACTTATACATCCCCCGGGGGCAACTGGGGTGGAGGACTGGGCAGACCAAAGGTCAAGGCCTTGGCGCAGGAGGTGACTGAGCTGCACACACACACACACACACACACACACACACACACACTCACTCTCTCTGCACCAGGCATCTGGGAGGTGGAAAACTTTGGTAATGGGGAGCGTGAGTCAGAGGGCTGGCTAGGAGCGAGGCTGCCGTGAGCTCATGCCTCCCCTTCTCCTGAGCCAGCATCCCCACCAACAATTAATGTCAACTCAGGAAAGGAGGAGTCAGACAGAAGGAGGGGTTCTGAGACAGACTGGAAAAGGCATCAGAGAGAGAGAGAGCCAGGCGCAGAGCAGTTTCAGGCTTTATTAACAATCGGGTGTAAAAAACCAGACGGGTCTGGCCACCCCTCTCAGCAATCCCCTTCCCCCAGGGAGGGGCTGCCAGCCTCCCTGTGCTCACCCACTCCTTGCAGGGTCTCTCTAGGAGAAAACCCACCCCGGCAGAGGCTCTGCTCATCCCCTCTGGCTCCGGACTCATCCTCTCCAAGCACAGGCATCAAACCCCACCCCATTCATGGTGGGGGCCTCATCCCAGTTTGGGATGCCCCTGCCCCAAGTCCTAACGCTTGGTGGGGCACACTTGCTCAGTCTCTTCTCCTCCTCTCTCTGTCTCCCAGGCCGGTAGCACAAACAATGTAGGCTTTGCAGAGAAACAGACTGGGGTGATCTCTCAGTGCAGACAGAATCTGAGGCAGGGGGCCAGAAGACAGGTTGACCACTCTGAGAAGTTCAGACACGAAAGTCAGGCCTCAGGCTGTCTTTTCCTCTGTAGGCCTCAGTTTCTGGGCCCTGACCAGGCTGGTGATTCGCACAGGGAGGATATGAAAGTTCCTGCACACAATAGGTGCTCATGTTGGAGTCACAGGTCCTTGCTGAACTCTCTTACCAGCGTGTAGCCCATGCAGCCCCAGCTCCCCTCAGCCTGGTAGCCGCAGCCTTCCAGCATCCCTGCCACGCCCCAAGCTGCCACGGCCACTGGGACCACGAGGCGGGTCCGGGGCTCCCCCATACCCCCTGACCAGGCACGTGTCCGGGACTCTGCAAAGGCCAGCAGCCGCCTGCCCACGCCTTGGCGGCGGTGCCAGCGGGAGACAGAGAGGCGAGTGACCCGGGCCCCACCCCCCGAGTTAGAGCCTGGGGCCAGGGCCAGGACCCCGCACACATCACCTGAGCCATGCACTGCTACCCAGGGCCCCCCTAGGCCGCCCGGTGGAGGCAGCGAGCCCCACCAGGCACGCAGGCCCAGCTTCATGGCCACCACGGCCAGGAACACAGGCAGAAGGAGGGCCAGGGCAAAGGAGGCCAGCACAAAGCGCAGGCAACTGCTGGACGCCGCCAGGAGGAGCAGGGCAGGTGGCCGTGTCAGGGCGTGGAGGGCCACTCGGTTTTCAGTGTCCTTCACAGCAGCCTGTGGGTAGGAGGAACAGTCAGAGTAGGGGACTTAGCCTCCCATCAGCTAGGGTCCCTGTGAACACCAGGAACGAGGAGAGGGAGCAGACCCTGCCCACGAAGGATTCAGGGTGGGGGCTCTCAAAGGAGAAGGGAAGGCAGTGTGGCCGGGCCTGTGGCAGAGGGACAGGCAAGGCCTGGACCACATCTGCTCTGTGCACCAGTAAACACTGCATCTGGCACACTGGGCTTTGAATGAGTGAGTGAATGAATTAGGAGCTGTGCAGGCATCCAATTCAGGAGAGGAACGTTCAGGAGGCACCAAGGAAGGCTGAGGCCAGAAAAGAATTGGCAACAGCCCCCAGGCCAGAAAATGGGCATGCTCTGGACAGCAAGAGAGGGGGCTGGAGTAGAGGATGAGTACAGGGCTGAGGCCCCCAGGCTCTGCTCTGAGGAGTGTGGAGTAGGAGACACAGATCCCACAGCCCTCATAGTTAAAACCCTCCTAACCCCAAGGGTAGTTAGAAGGCACTAGAGAGAGAAGGGACCAAGCCAGAAGTGGCTTAAAAGGAAAAGCTGGCTCACCGTGCTGCCCCTGTCCCCATGCTCACTGGTGCCCTTGCCCCCCTCACCTTCAGCATCTCCAGCACCAGGGGCTTCTCATCTTCCCTCATCTCCCGCACTGACAGGTGGCTGGGGGCCATGACAGTCCCTGTGCCCCTAGGGAGCAGGTGTGCACCTGGTGAAAACAAGCAGGTCAGCGTCAGGAGGGTGCCTCTGGTCCCCAAGCACCCCAGGGGTGGGGACCAGCAGCAGCATGTCCCGGGTGAGGACAGTGAGGATGCTTGGGGCCCCCCAAGTGAAGTCCACCGTAGAACAGGCTGCCCCCTTCACACAACCACCTTCTTAACGTCTCCTGGGGTCTCGGTCCCCAACCCCGTGGCGTTCAGTGATCTACCCTTAAATATCTTTGCAGACACCAACCTGGCAATACAGGGTCCCCTCCCAGGCTCCGGGGCTTCCTTGGGGAAAGGCCATCGAACCCCCAGCCCATGCCAGGTAATAGACTGAGCTCCCCATGGCCCAGAACCCCTCCCCACAGCCGCTGCTGGAGCAAGAACCTACAAGCACCTCTGCGGGTGGCTCCGATCCTTTAACAAGGTGTGTGGGGCAGGGTCAGGAAGGGGTCGCCGGCGGAAGTGACGTCAGACCCGCGCACGTTGGAGGCCAGGCGGTGCCTGCATTAGGCCTTAACTGTTGCCAAGCTGGGGCGGAGGAGGGGGGGCGCTTGAGGAGGGGCTAGGGCAGGGCGCAGGGACTTTGCTGGGTGTGCGATAGAGCGATGAAGGGGGACCCGTAAGAGGACAGCGGCAGAGGTGGTAGACGCTGCTGGTGTGGAGGCGGGGAGCAGTACTTACCGGCCAGTTGAGGGGGTGCGCGTGCGCGCGCTCGCTTTTTCGAGGTTCCCTGGTTGCTAAGCAACCTGAGTGCCGGGTGGGGGCGTGATGGGAGCAGATCAATCCTCATTGGTGCCCGGACCTTCGTGGGAGGGGCCGCTTCAGCATCCTGAGCCCACCAGCTCCCAAACTCGCCCACCCAAAGGACCTCCGCCCCAACCCACCCGGGCTCAGTGACCTTCGGGACAAGCATTCCCCACCCATCCCACTTTTCAGATGAGTGGAGGGGTGGGGTGAGTTACAGTGAACAAGTGGCAGACTAGGATTCTAAATTCCACATCTCCCCACTCTAGTGACCACTGCATATCTTTTAATAGTAAACAGGACCCCACGTAGAAGTGACTGGCCCCCAAGCGACTCAGCTGCAAGCCAGGATGCAAGAGATAAAACTCCAAGCTCTCGGAGCGGTGGCTATGGCCATTTCATTGCCCCGCCCCGCTCCCCCCGCCCCCTACCAAGAAAACAAAACACAGGAGAGGAGAATCTGATCTTTATTAGGGAGCCCTGCCTGCAGCTCTCCTGCCCCCGGCCCAGCACAGGCGGAGTCCGGGTCTCTGGGAGGCAGGAAGAGGTTAACAGTGGTTCTACTCAAAACGTGTGCACCAGCTGGACTGTGGGCAGTGTCTGAAGAATCTGGATGGAGGGTAGGCCCTGAGGGGCCATGCCCCCAGGCACAGCTCCTGCGGGGACCACTTGTACCATCTGGGAGGCCACAGCCGCGGGGATGCCAGCCGGGGCAGAGGCTGGACCAAGTGGTGGCGGGGCCAGCAGCTGCAGCGTGGCGGCACCGCCCCCAACACTGTTCTCCAGAAGCTCAGTGGCCGGAGCACTGCGGATGATAAGCAGTTTCTGTCCTGGCGGCCCCGGGGCAGGCGGCTCCGCCAGCCCTGACGGGACAGTCTCTACCTCCTGCACACACAGCTGGGTCTGCTCCCCATCAGCCCCACTCAGTACCAGGACGCTCTGCAACCCCTCGTCTGTCTGCAGCGTCTCAAAGAGCACATCCTGGACCACACCAGCGCTGGCCTCACCATCACCCGGCTCACCAGGGCTGGGGCCCGCCAGCAATTCCTCTGCTGCCCCACTCTGCACTACCAGCAGGTTGGGGGCCTCAGTGGTCACAGCTCCCCCACTGGGGTTTGACAGCTGGCCCGCCACAGGCTGGAGCTGTACTGTGGTCACCTCCTGTGCTGGCTGGAGCTGGACTGTGGTCACTTCCTGTGCCGGCTGGAGCTGGACCGTGGTCACTTCCGGGGCTGGCCGGAGGGGCTGGAGCTGGACCCCACTCACTTCCTGTGGCCCCACCTCCCCACCCCCCACATTCTGCAGGAGGATGAGGCTCTGCCCTCCCCCACTGACCCCAGTGTTGCCCCCTGCCTGTACCCCCAGTCCCCCAGGGCCCGACAGCCATACTACTCCAGTCCCCTGTCCAGCTTTCCCCACTGCCTTTGGGCCCTGCCTTGCTCTGTCACCCCCACCACCGGTACTGGGCGAGGGCAGAATAATGAGCTTGGGGGGGGCGGGGGGAGGCGGGGGCTGCACGCTACTGGGGATGAGCTGGAGGCCCTGAGCGGTCTGCACCAGGAGGAACGTCTGGGAGTTGGGGGCTGCCGGGCCTGGAGGTGGGGCCTGGGGTGGCCCCCCTGCCACCTCCAGGGAAAGTGTGGCCTGAAGGTGGGGGAGCACGTGGACATCTTGGGTGGCTGGCAGAGCTGGGGCCGCAGCCAGTGGGGCAGGGGGTGGGGGACCGGCAGCGGGGGTGGCAGGGGTATGCGTCCTCAGGTGCCGCTGCAGGTAGGCGGCCATGACGAAGCTGCGGCCACAGACAGGACAGGCGAAGGGGCGCTCCGCTGAGTGTGTGCGCTGGTGCAGCAGCAGGTTGGAGGAGTGCGTGAAGGTCTTGGGGCAGAGCGGGCAACGGAAGGGCCGCTCGCCCGTGTGCACGCGCTGGTGCTGCCGCAGGTTGGAGGTCTGCGCGAAGCTCTTGCCGCAAACACCGCATGCATGCGGCCGCTCGCCCGTGTGCACGTGGCGGTGGCGCCGCAGGCACGACGTATTGCGAAAGGCCTTACCGCACTCCCCACAGGCATAGGGCCGCTCGCCTGTGTGCAGCCGCAGGTGGTACTGGTAGTGCGACGACCACTTGAAGGTCAGGCCGCACTGGCCGCAGGTGAAGGCCCGCAGGCCAGTGTGCACGCGCTGGTGGATGGCCAGCAGCGACGAGCGCTTGAAGGCCTTGCCGCACTCGCCACACTGGTAGGGCCGCTCGCCGGTGTGGTCCCGCAGATGGTAGCGCAGCCCGGACGAGCCCTTGAAAGCCTTGCCACACTCAGCGCACTTGTAGGGCCGCTCAGTGGAGGCCGGCGCGGTGGCAGCGGCGGGCGCAGGTGGCTGTGGAGCGGGTGCAGCAGGGGCCAGTGGCTCCTGTGGACAGGTGACCTCGGCGGCCTCGGCCTGGGGAGGTGGGCGCCCAGCTGCAGCCTCCTCCACGTGGCACTGCTGGTGTGCCAGGAGGCTGGCCAGCTGCGGGAAGGCGCCATCACAGCTGCCGCAGCGGAATGCCTGCCCACTGGCCCCCCCGTGGCTGTGCTGGTGGCGGGAGAGGCCGGCCACTGTCCGGAAGGACTTCCCACAGGGAAGGCAGGCGAAGCCAGGGGCGGCGGTGGCAGGAGGGGTCTGTAGCTCTGGGGCTGGAGCCGGCGGTGAGGCCGTGGGCATCTCCGCAGGTGTTTCCTGGGGCGCAGACACAGCCTCAGGCCCGGGGCAGGGCTGGTGCTCCAGCAGCAGTTCCTCGCTGCCGAAGCCCAGCTCGCAGCCATCGCAGCGGTACACCAGCTCCACAGTGGTCTCAGCTGCAGCCAGAAAGAGCTCAGGCACCACCGGCGGAGGCGCAGGCGGCGGAGGCGCGGGCGGGCTGGGGGAGTGCAGCTGAGGCTGCAGGTAGGCGTCAGCGACCAAGACCTTGGCAGGCTCACGTGGCGGGGGCGTGGGGGCAGACGCAGGGGCGGAGCCGTGTGTGCGCTGGTGCAGCAGCAGGTTGGAGGAGTGAGTGAAGGTCTTGGGGCAGAGCGGGCAGCGGAAGGGCCGCTCGCCGGTGTGCACGCGCTGGTGCTGCCGCAGGTTGGTGCTCTGGGTAAAGCTCTTGCCGCAGACGCCACAGGTGTAAGGCCGCTCGCCCGTGTGCACATGGCGGTGGCGCCGCAGGCTAGATGAGTTCTTGAAGGCCTTGGGGCAGTCGGGACAGGGGTAGGGCCGCTCGCCCGTGTGCTGGCGCAGGTGGTACTGGTAGTGCGACGACCACTTGAAGGCCAGGCCGCACTGGCCACAGGTGAAGGCCCGCAGGCCCGTGTGCACACTGCGATGGATCTGCAGAAGCGAGGAGCGCTTGAAGGCCTTGGGGCAGTCGGCACACTGGTAGGGCCGCTCACCCGTGTGGCCCCGCTGGTGGTAGAGCAGGGCTGATGAGCCCTTGAAAGCCTTGGGGCAGTCAGGGCACTTGTAGGGCCGCTCGCCCGTGTGCGTGCGCTGGTGGTGCAGGAGCCGGGACGACCAGCGGAAGGACTTGCCGCACTCCCCACACTCGTACTGGGCCGCCGGGGCGGGGGCCGCAGGGCCAGGCTTCTCCCCGGAGCCCTCCATGGTGGAGGCCGGCGCCATGTCCGCGTGGGAGCCGACCATCACACCTGGGGGGGATTCCAGGTCAGGGGAGGGCGGCTCCCCCCTCCACCCACACGAGTCATCTCAACCCCAAATTGGCAGCTGCCCTTCCATAGACAGGGGCACCTCCCCAGCCCTCCCTCAATTCCGGGGCCTCCCTCAGGATTAGGGCCCCCAATGGTCTAGGTTTGCATGGGGATACAAAACTTCAGGTGCTAAGCTTCCAGCAAATTGGGACGAGTGGGTCACCAGCCTTAGGAGGTCAGCCATCTCCTTCAGAAGGCTGGACAGGCCTGAGAAGACTGGGTGTAGCCTATAGGGCTATGCTCTAAAGATGGGCTGTGTCCTTGAAGAAGGCTGGGGTCTCTCCAGTACCCTGGCTTCCCACCCTTGACCCCTCTCCCTGTAAGGACCCTCCCCTGCCTCAACACCCACGCCCACAGCGGGATCCTCAACCCCTTCACTGTAATTGAAGCCCCTGTGAATTTCCCACTCTCCACCACCTCCCATCCTGCTCACCAGCTCCTTCTTGGTACCCTGACCAAAATTCCCTAAACTCCACCATATCTCCAATCCACTGACCCTGTGGGTTTTGAACCCTGTGCCCCTACCTGCATCCTCACTTTCTCTTACCCAGCTGCGGGTAAGGGCTGCGGGCGCACGGAAACTGCCAGGCTTCGGTCTCCCTTTGCATTCATGCCCACCGATGGCAGAGCTCCTCCCCACTGGCCTGCATGGCTGGTTCACTCCCCCAGGTGATACCTGCATGTTTCTTTTCCCCTCAAACCTCTCTGCTTTCCCCTCCTGCTCTTAGCAGGTGACCCTGTCATTGATTTCGTCACTGAGAAAATAAAAGCAATCAGAAAAGAACATTACCACGTTCCAACCACTACACCAGTTCTCAACAGGGCAATTGAGATCCTCTCCATGGCACCCCCACCCCAGGGGACAATGGGCAATGCCTGGAGACTGTTCTGGTTGTCAGGCTGTCTACTGGAGGGATAGGTGCTCCTGGCATGTAGTGGGGTAAGGCAAGGAACGTTGCTCAACCTCCTACAGTGCATGGGACAGCCCACACAGCAGAGTGATGCGGTCCAAATACCAGTGGTACTGAGGCTGAGGAAACAGCACTATCCCCTCCATCCCGTGGGCCTGCCCCCGGGCCCATGGACCCTGACTCCCCACCTACAGCAACATTCCTCATCTGGACCACTCCCATCAGCATACCTACAAGCTACAGCTCCCATCTTTTAAAAAAACCTTCACTCCACCTCCCTCTCCAGCTAAGCCCTCCTTTCTCTCCACCCCTTTGCACCAAAACAACTCAAAAGTGTTGTCAGTACCTGTTCCCATTCCACATCTGCCAATCAGGTCCTCCTCCGCCAACTCCACTCATGGCCTCTGTAGTGCTTAATCCATGATCTCTGCCCAGCCCACAGTGGATCCCTCCTTCCTTCACTACTCCTCTTGGCTTCTGGAATACCACGATACTTACCTGCCACCCCATCTGTTTTGGGCACTGTTCCTTCTCATCGCCCTGACTGGTGCTGGTAGGCGTGTCCAGGGTTCTGTCAGCCCTTGGTCCTCCTCCTCCTCCTCCTCCGCCTCCTCCTCCTTGACACCCTCTCCCTGGGAACCCCGACCTCTCTCAAGCCTTCACGGTCCAGACACAGGATGACTCCAAAATTCACCTCGACACCTCTCCTTTGAACTCCAAACCCCTGCTCGACTGTGCCATGTGGACGCCTAGACACCTCAAACTTAACATGCCCAAAATCTAACTCCAGGGTTTTTTGCTCTTGCGCTCCCCCTACCCTCCAACCCACCTTCCCCCATAATCTTCTACATCCCTGAAAACAGCTCTATTCTTCCTCAGGCCAAAAGCCTCGGGGCCTCCTCACTGCTCTCACTTTGTGATCAATCCATCAGCAGCTTCCCCTGGCCCAGCAGGAACATGCTTGCAATCTGGAAACTTCTCACCAAGTCCCCTATTGCCACCTTTGCCCAGGGCACCAACACTTCCCTCCTGGCAGCTGCCACAGCCTCCTAACAGAACTCCGTGTTTCCAGCTTTACCCTTCCTACCCCCAGTATGTTCCCAGCACAGAGGCTGAAGCGAAGGTACCAAAAGCCTTCCCAGCTCCCATTTCCGAGCAGAAAACAACCCCTTACAAGAGCCTACAGTCTTCCCACAGCTCATGGCCTTCTCCCCTCCCTGTCCTCCTGCTCTCACACCAACTCTAGACACCCAGCCTGGCTGGAAATGCCTGCTCCCACCTGGGGCACTCACACACGCCACTGCCTAATACCCCCCTCCCTCACCTCCAAGTCTTCACTGCAGTGTCACCTGCGGGAGGCATTCCCTAACCAGCCTACTTAAACCTGCAACCCCTTCCAACACTCCCCATTCGCTTTCTCAGCCTCACTTTTTTCTCCATAGCCTTTATCATGTTCTAACCTACTTTATAATCAGGGTTTCCCACCCTCAGCACTGCTGCCATTTGGGACTGGACCATAGTGTCCAGGGGGCTGTACCTGTACCATGCACAATAGGATGTTTAGCAGCATCCCTGGCCTCTACCCACTTCAGGGGTCGACAAACTTTTGAGACGGAAGAGCCGCCAGGGATCAGCAAACTGCGGCTCGTGCGAGCCACAGGCTCTGAAGTAAAATTGAAAATGAAAATAAAACTATCATAGTTTCATTTATAATATTTTTAAAGGATATTATTCATATAATGGTGATTATGTAAACCTATATTTATGGATCTTGAATAATTGTTAAATTGTTGTGAGGGACAGGACTGACTCTTCCAGGGGCCGGCAAACTTTTGCGACGGAACGTACCCAAAGAGCCAAATGCAGCTCTCCAGCCGCAGTTTGCCAACCCCTGCACTAGATCCTAGTGACATCTTATTGACTGTTGCATCCTAGCGCCTTAAAATAACATCAGAGCGAATGCTCAGTAAGAATATCTGGAATGAACGAAGGCTGGGCATCCCCTTTGAATAGGTCATAAACATTCCCTTTAAAGACATGCGTGTCCCCTTGAGAATATAAGCAGGTCCTTTTAAGAGACCATTATCCCAGGAAGCTGCACTGCCTTTCAGAAGGCTGAGCATGACTCAAACAAGAGACATCCCGCTCTGAAGGGCCGGGACTTATCCATTAAACAGCACCCTCCTGAAAGGCCGAACCACACCCTTGCCACAGGTCCGACTTCCCCTTTAAGAGGGTGCTCCTGCTGCACCCCCATCTCCACCTTTGTTGAACTAAACTAGGTACCGCTTTGAAATCACTAGGATTCATAAGTTTTTTCCTTCAATGTCTGGGACACTGTCACCGGTCTTTAAAGAGAGAACCCATTCCTCGGGGCGGGGGGGGGGGGGGGTGAAAAGCAGGGAGCTCCAGTATACTGCCGAACCTGCCCCGCCCCTCTAAAAGCAGCCCCGTGACCTTTAAGAGGGCGGAGCCGGCCCGGCCCACAATAGTCGGAGGTGAAGTCGCGCCCTTCCCTTTAAAGCATCCCTTCCGGTTTCACGCTTGCCGCTTCCCCAACGTCTCCGCCCTCCGGTCCCTCCCCCCACCCCCACCCTCGGTCTCTCACCTGCGGCCCCGACTCGGGGAACGAACGGAGGAGACCCAGGACCTTCCCGCGGGGGTCGACGGGAAGGCGGGGTCCCGGCCGCGGCCGTGCAGAGGTGGGGGCCGGGGAGGGGGCCGGGGTCGCGCTCCCTCCCAACGGCCCCCGGCGCGAGGCACCCAACCTTTACCAGTGGCCTCTCGCGCACACAAACCCCGACGTAGCCGTCCGTGCGTCACGACGCCACGTCACTGAGGTCCCGCCCCCGCCCCGCCCGTTGACCTCCGGCCCTAGCGGCTCTCTCTAGGAGCCACGGAACGAGGCATCCTGGAAATTGTAGTTCTCCCCGGACCTCAACCGCCGGGTTCTGGCGGCGGTCGCGGGAGTCAGCCCAAAGCTGGGCAAAACCAGGTGGGGATGCGGGGTCGCACGTTCCCGTTTATTAGTATTGATAGAGACCCTCCCAGGCAGCGCGGTTCCGAGCAGGCCTCGCCCACCAGGGGTGTGGTCACTCCTTGCCTGGCCCCCACGCCCAGGCCGTCGGGGCTCCCTTTCCGAGAAGGGAAACTGAAGCGCCGTGATCCCCGCCTGTAGAAGTCCCGCGTGCCCGCGGTTCCCAGGCACCTGCTGTGCCTGAACCTGGGTCCTGCAGTGCAGAGTGCTGCTCAGGTCACCGGGACCGAGCCCTCTCCCTCCTTTCCACGCTCAGTCCCCACCAGCCTCGGCCTTTCAGCCACACTGACTTTTCTGCGGGTCATCCAACACAGGGTTTCTCTACCATTGCACTATGTTGTGGGGGAGTCCTGTGCATTGTAAGGTGGTCAGCAGCATCCCTGGCCTCCATCCATGAAAAGTCTATAGTACCTTTCTATGCCCGGTTCCCTTCCCCCACACTTTGTGACAGTTGTCTCCAGAGGTGGCCACATGTCCCCTGGTTGAGAACCACTGTTCCACAGCCATCCCCTTCAGTCTGAGGGCCGCTCCTCCTGCTGTTTCTTAGACCAGAAGGCCCTCCTACTCCCATCCCATCCCTTCTCAACTGCTCCTGGAAAACCCCCATGCTAGGTGTGGTCCCATTACCTGCTCAGCTGCACTCATCTGTGTTCCATGACAGCAGGGGAGGGTCTGTCTTTGCCACTTAAGTGTCTCCAACAACCAACAGGGGCCTGACCAGAATTAGGCAATACCCTGTTGAATGAGTTCATTTGTACCATCTCCCAAGGCCCATAGGCAGGTGGGAACTCAAGCAGGACCTGAGCTGACTTGGGCCTGTCCGTGCATGGTCTTTATGAAGTCCCTGTGAATTTACGCCTGTAAAACCCTTGGCTGCCAGTTCAGCCCAAACCTTCCTTTCCCTTCAGTTTCTACCTCCCCCACCAGAAAGGAGGCTGCCGGAGGCCCTGGGACACCTGAACAGAATCATGAGCTCCTGAGGGTGAAGACAGGAGGACAGAAGGAGAGTAGCAGACACCAGAGGTAGAGCTGGGAGGGTCTGTCTCCTGCGGTGCAACTCCACCTGTATCCAGGGCCCCCTAACATTGCCTCCCAGATGGAGGGAGGATCCCATGCTGGGTGAGGGTGTGGATGTGGAATGTGATGCCAGTTGGGTATGGGCAGGGGTGTTCCAGAGGTATATAGCCCACGCCCATCTGTTGCCTCAGGCCACTGGGGTCCCTGCAGTAATGAAAGGAGCCCCAGCTAGCCCCCATTTACCTGCCTGTCCCAGGCGTTATGAGGGAGGTGGGAGAGGCAGAGTCCCAGTCCCCTCTTCGCCAAGTCTCTTGTTATGCCGTCTCTTCACCACCCCCCTACCCTGCAGAGGAGGATGTGTCCCTAGCTTCTGGAATAGTCCAGCTCCAAGTTGGCCTGGCCAGGAGCAGATTCTGGGTTTTTCCCCCCTTGATCACAGTGTGGGGAGGGGGCTCAAGTCCCACTCACTGTGCCCCCACCCATGCTCCCGGCCTTTAGGTACTCAAGTTCTCCAACCCTTCTCCTTTCTGATTGCAGTGTCCCGCTGTGTGGACAATTTGATTCTGGTTTTGGCCACTCTGTCGCCTTGTTGAAGGCACAGCCTTCAGTCACTAGAGAAGAGAGATTAGGGGATAGGGCAAGATGTGTGCCCAGAGGAAGTAGCTAAGGCAAAGACAAGACTCCCGGGGCCAGAGACTAAAAATAAAATATCTTTTTCCACACAAGTGGAGTAGAGACAGCAGAGATGCACTTTAAGCAGGGGGGAGGGGGACAGGCAGGAGGAGTCCTGGGTCACACTGTCAGCCTTCCCCAGGGAGAGGGAGCCAAGGGGAATGGCCTGTGCTCCCCACAGGCTAAGGGTGCTCCTTTCTGACATCTCTTGGGGCTCCCATAGGGTGTCCCAGCCTGCCCCGCCTGGCCTCTCCATATGGAAGGGGTATTATCCCCAGTTCACTCAGGGTAAATAAAGGTCCTCTGAAATCTTTCTGCCAGATACAGAGCCAGGAAGTAATGGAACCTCCTGTAACCAGGAAATGGTTCCTGTAACCGGGAAGTGATTTTACTGGGAGGGCACCCAATTCTAGAGTCAACCTCCATCCAAGGCTTCTCTAGTGGGTCTCACATGCATGGTCAGGAGCCCCTGGAGCTGCCTGGGGCATGGAGCCAGAGGAGACACCGCACCTCGCCTGGGGGAAGCTTGGGCAGGCTCCCCAGAAGAGGACAGTTCACAGAGTAAATAGACCCATCTGTTTTAAATACAAAAATGTGGACACAGGCAGATACAGACCAAATCCTCTCCCCCAGAGTGGCGGCCACCTCCTATGATGCTCCCCAATGGCCTGTGCCCTTGTATAACAAGTGTGTTTTCTTCAGGTAAGCAGGGGACCAGTGGATACGATGAATGTCACTCCTGTGACAGGTTATGTTATATGGCACAGACGAAGGGATCTTGGCAGGTGCAATCAAGACCCCTTACTCAGTTGACCTTGAGTTACTCAAAAGGAAATGTGATTGTTAATTTTATGTCTCAACTTATTGGACCACAGGATAGCCAGATTTCTGGTTAAACATGACTTTGGGGGTCTGTGAGGGTGTTTCTGGAAGAGTTTAGCATTTAAATTGGTAGACTGAATAAAGCAGATGGCCCTTCCCATTGTGGGTGGGCAGCACCAATCTGTTCAAGGCCTGAATAGAACAAAAAGGTTGAATTTGCTCTCTGTCTGACTACTTGAGTGGGGACATTGATCTTCCTGTGCCCTCGGTGCTCCTGGTTCTCAGGCCTTCAGACACAGCTTGGAATCTACACTATCAGCTCTCTGGTTCTCAGGCCTTTGAACTTCACCACTGGCTCTCCTGGGTCTTCAGCTTATAGATAGCATATCATGGAATTTCTCAGCCTCCATAATCACATGAGCCAAGTCCTTATAACACATCTCCTTATATACAGAGGGTGCCAATTTTTTTTTTAATTATTATTTTTTATTGTGAAATACACATTTTTTAGAATTAGTTTCAGCTGTACAACACAGTGCAATATACTTTTTACCCCTCGA